GGCCCACCGGGGCCCTGACCTCCAGAAACCAGCGGGAAAGCAGGACCGGGGCGGCCTTTGGCTTCTTATTCTCGGGCCGTGCCCCCTGGACACCCAGGTCGTTCCTGCGCCTGCCCGGGGCTCGGGGTCATCCCGCTGCCCCTGACGGGCCGACCACGCTCACTGGCGCCTGAGAACCCGCCCGTCTGGGGAAGCTGCTGGAAGGTACCCTCCAGGGTGAGCGGGCTGCGGTTTCCCTCGTGGCTGCAGAAGCCACAAGGTCTCCCGCCGGGCCCTCGCCCGAACTGTGCCTCCAGCCCGGAAACCCGCCCCCTTCCTGTGGGGCAGACCCGCCGGCCCCCAGCCCTTCCCCAGGCCCTGTTCTGACCCTCCAGGTGCCAGGTCGTCAGCGGGGCAGCTGCATTTGAGTTTCAAACAAACAACAAATACTGTTTCAGTACAAGGCCGTCCCACATACCACGGGACACTCGCATCATGCAAAAGTAGTTGTTGTTTTTTCTGAAATTCCCGTTTAACCGGACGTGTTTTTATTTGCTGAATCTAGTCATCGTAGCCACACCCACTTTCCCCCCAAACTGGATCATCTCAAAGCCACTCCCTGACATCACTTCATCCAGGAAATACCTATTGAATGAATGAGTCTCCCGGGTCTGGATGGCCAGCAATTGTCTCGGCCCCCCCCCCCCTTATTTAAATGTGTCCAGTTTCTTAAATTACACACGAGATTCCTGAGCCTCGTGTCCATCATCAGAAGGGCTGAGTGAGTTACATCCTGTGTAATGGGATATTTGAGTTACTACGAGCAGGTCTTAGTGACCATGGTGCCCAGCCCAGGGCCGTGCACACAGCAGGTGCTCCATAAATGCTTTTGTAGGCATGAGCACATGACTCCAAGGTAAACACTCCGTGGTGGAAAAGTAAAACTTGGCCACCGGTTCCAAACCCCCCGATTCACAATCCCCAGGGGTGGGCACATGACTTCACCTCTCAGATCCTCAGTCGTCTTTTCAACAAAAGGGAAGTCGAGAGCCCCCTTTGTGGGCGACACTTACCACCTGGGCCCCAGCAGGTGTGGGTCTCGATGGCCCCTCATCCAGGTGGGAGAAAGCACACGGGGCCTCGGGGTCTGGGGAAACTGGACCCTTTCCCGGAAAGGGTAAACTGAGACCCAGGAGGGCAGGGAGTCCCTCAGACCCCCAGTGTGACTGCTCTAGGACAGGCATCAGCCTTCCTCATTCTGGGAGCCCCCAAGCCCCCGGAAGTGACTATGAACGCCGGGCTGTGATCCTGGGTTCGAATCCAGGCTTTGCCCAGGAGCTTCCCCCGACCTGAGCCTCCGTTTCCCGATGCGGGACGGGGGTCACAGAACAGAGTGACTCGAGAGGGTCTGTGAAGCTGAAGCTCCCCCCAGAGCAGGGTCTCGCCCGCAGGGCGGCTTCCCCGCCACCTCCCGGGACCGCGGGTGGAGGAGCACGGGCGCCCCCGCGCGGCCGCGCGTGCTCAGGACGGGCAGGAAGCGTGCAGGAAAGGATGCTTTATTGCGCGACCCCGGTCGGCCGCCCCTCGGGGCCTCGTCAAGCGGCCGCGCCCTCGGCCATCACGCCGTCGATCCAGGCCACGTAGCTCGCCAGGCGCGTGTAGATGCCGGGCTTCTTGCGGTTGCCGCACACGCGCGAGCCCGACGTGACCACGGCCTCGGCCACGCCCCCGCACACCAGCGGGCCCCCGGAGTCGCCCTGCGGGGACAGGACGGCAGGCCGGGCCGTGAGCGCTGCAGCCGCGCCTGCAGGGACCCCCGCCCGCGCACCTTGCAGGTGTCCCAGCGGTTACTCCCCCCGCACCCCCCGCCCGCCCCCCCACCTTGCAGGTGTCCCGGCGGTTGCTCCCCCCGCACCCCCCGCCCGCCCCCCCACCTTGCAGGTGTCCCGGCGGTTGCTCTCCCCGCACATCATGCTCTGGGTGATGGTGCCGTCGTGGTACGTGCGCTGGTTGCAGGTGGCGCGGTCGAGGACCCGCAGTTGCAATTGCTGCAGGCGGTCCGGCCGGCGGCCCGCGTGGGTGACCACGCCCCAGCCGGCCACGTCGCAGAGCGTGCCGGCCGCCACGTCGCGGTCCAAGCGCTGCCAGGCCAGGGGCTGCACGGCGGGGCCCAGCTCGGCCTTCTCTGACAGCTACGGGAAGGGGCAGGAGCGGGGGGTCAGGGCGGGGGGGGGGGGCAGCGGGGGTCGCGTGCAGCAGGTGGGACTGAGGCTGGGCTCGGCAGACCTGCAGCAGGAGGAGGTCGTGGTCGATTGTGTCGGGCCGGCTGTCTGGGTGGGGCACTGCGCGGAGCACGTTGTACAGGCGCTTGGAGGGCTCGGGCTGCGACAGGGAGTGTGCGCCCAGGAGCACCTGCAGCTTCCCGTCGGCCCTGGGCGTGGGGGGGGGGCCCCCATGGGGGCGCCGCCCCCCCCCCCAGCCCCTCCCAGCCCCCCGCTGGCTCCGGACACTCACAAGTCCTCCACGCAGTGCGCCGCGCTCAGCACCCACCGCTCGGACACCAGGAAGCCGCCGCACACGTGCTTGCCGTTGACCTGCACCGATGCCATGTAGGGCCGCGCGTGGGACTCGGCCTCGCGGCCGCCCAGGATTCGCCCACGGGGCTGCGCCGCTGGGGGAGGGAGGGCAGGTGTGTGCTTCAGGGGGCGGGCCTCCCTGCCCCACGCGGCCCTCGGGCAGCCCAGGCCAGGAGTCCAGTCCGTGCGGGGGGGGGGGGGGGGGGCCCGGGGGCCCCCCCGGGGGGGGGGGGCCAGGCCTGGAGTCCAGTCCGGGCCCACTGGGAGCAGGGGACTCTAGGGCAAATTCGCTAAGTGTGGCTGACCAGACCCAGCAGTCCCGGCCGTTTGCACTGACAACTTGACCCTCACTGGAGGCTGAGCTTGGACTCTGAGAGCTCAGGCTTCATATTCGAAGTTTGGGGAAAATCCTTCCTTTTCAGAGTTTTCCATTCACCTGCTGGAGCCGGGGACACTCCTGCTTGATGGCGCGGGGGAGGGGGGGGGCGGCTGGCCGCCCTCCAGACGGGTGGCTCCCAGCTGTCCCCGGTAGGCCCAGGCCCTGTCACTCACCACACGCGGCTGCGCCCAGGAGGACCAGCGTCACCAGGTGCACCAGGCAGGCGGTCATGCTGCTGCTGTGGCCTGAGCGGGGACTCAGGCTGGGGCCCCCAGGCACTGACACTTGTAGGAGCGGGCAAGGGGGCGGGGCTCCCAAGGCTGGCTCTGCTGCGTGGCCACCGTCCAGCAGGGCAAAGGGGAGCCTGCCTGTTCCGTGCCCACCCTCCACGGGAGCCCCGCACCGAGAGGACAGGCGGCTGGAGGGGACTCCTGCCTCTGTGTCAGGTCCAGGGCTGGTCCCCGTGCGGGCCGCAGACCCTCAGGCGGACCCACTCTCAGCCCCCCAGCCCGGGCTCCCCAGAGTGCCCTTCCACCCCCAACGTTTGCAACAGCAGCTGGAGGCCACAGTTTGTAAACAACCAACTTCCTCCCTTTTTCTGCTCCTCCCTTCTTTCTCTTCCTCCTCCAACTAAGAGAGGAGGTCGGTGGGGGTGGGAAGGTCACCTGACAGCCTTGTCCCTGTTGGCTCTGGGGCCCAACACCCCAACAAATGGAATGTTAGAAAGGGGGCGTGTCAGATACAAATGACAGAAAAAACAAGTTGAACCGGGTGGGGTCTTCAACACGGAAATTTAAATGGAAAGTTCAGGGACTACTCTCAGGTGTAGCCTGATCCAGGTGCCTGCCCGCTAGCAGGTGTCTCTGTCTCTCGTTCGTCCTTTCCTCCTTGGTGATTTTTCTCCTCACCGGGCTCCCCAGGGGCCCCAGACTCAGCCCAGTGGCTCAGTGGGCCCCTCCCCCAATTCCCCATCCAGCCAGCTTCTCAAGGCTGCCTCCGGTTAGCCGAGCTTTGATCACATGGCCCTTCCCAAGCCAATCACTGCGAGCAACGGTTGGCAGGTTCTGATGAGCAGAATGGGTTGCGTGACCCTTTATAAGGTCAGGATGATGGATCAATGTCTCACGAACCCATGGAGGGGGGCAGTGCTGGGAACACAAGGGCGGGACGGGCCTTGGACATCCCCAGTGGGCACATTGCACAGTATCTTCCCTCTAAGCTTTCCTCTTTGCTGTGGACTGTTTCAGGCACAGAGAATAGAAAAAATGTAGCCAGTGTGAATTGTTAGATCCTAACATGTGTCCTTATTGAAATCAGAAACTCGAAACAAAAGCCCATTAGGCTATGGAGTCCAGGTTATGTAAGAGTTGGAAACTGCAACAAAATTTGGAACGTCTTCAATAAATAACCCTGAACACTCCCCACCCGGGCGCCGAACGAACCAGCGACCGCCAGCGTGCAGGGCTAGGTTGGAAGAGTGACTGACCGACTGACCCCCGGCCAGCGCTTGGGCGGAGCTGTGGGAGGGGAGCACCCCAAGGCAGAGGGAGCCCCAGAGGCCAGAACCATGCGGCAGGGCCCAGGCCGTTGACCTCCAGTGGGGGGGCGGGCAGGGTTCGTGAGGCCGAGGCCGGTGTGGGACCCGAACCTCTCCCCTCACTCCTGCCTGCAGGGAAGCCGAGGCTCAGGGAAAGACAGTCAGGTGCCCAACGTAGCTGGGACTCAAACCTAGGCTGCCTGCCGAGCACAGCTTCACGCCTGTCTGTACCTCGACTTCTTTGCCTGTAAAATGGGGCAGGGCTAGGACTCGCCTCAAGGGCCGGAGAGAGGGCCGGATGAGTGAACGGTGGCAGAGACTTGGACCGGTCCCTGTGCCGCGTGAGCAGTGACTCAATCCGGTGACGCTGGGAACCCGGGTGGCAGCTGGCATCCTTTGTGGAGGGTGGGGAAGGTCATCTTACCCCAGGGCCCCGAACTTGCTGCCGTTTGGAGGCGACACGCCCACGAGACACACTTTCCGGCCCACTGTGGGGCCCCCGTTGTACAACCAAGAAACACACGCATTCTTACGAAAACCAAGAGGCTTTTATTGTCACCGTGGGCAGGGCCCAGCCAGCGGCGCCCTTTCTAGAGGGTCCTGCTCGCAGGGTCCCTGGGATGCACCGAGGGGCGGTCGTCCTGGCGACGGATGATGGAGTTGATCCAGTTGGCGAACTGTGCCACAGGAGCGAAGGCGTCTGGGTAGAAGCCGGAGCCACAACTTCCACGGATGAAGGAGTCGATGCCCTGAATCAGCCCGTTGCAGACCAGGGGCCCCCCCGAGTCCCCCTGCGGACACAGACAGGGTCGGAAGGCTGGCCTTCCAGGGCTCTGGCCGCGGCCCAGGCGGGAGCGGGGGTGGGGGACCCAGGGGGGGACCGGGGGACCCGGGTACGTACAAAGCAGATGCCGGCCTGCCGGCGTGGCACCAGCGTGCACACGTTGGAACGGGGGCACAGGGTGGTCACCACGGTCACGTTGAGCTCCTGCAGGATGTTGGGCGGTGGCTGGGTTGTGCCCAGCTGGCCCCAGCCCATGGCCAGGCACTGCACCCCACTGCCCACACCTTGATTCTGGGCAGGCAGCCTGGCCACCCGCACGTTGCTGTTGATGGTGGCTGACCCATTGAGCTGTGGCGGGTGGAACAGAGAGCGTCACAGGGGGTGGTGGGCCATGACCTTCCCCTCCCCGGGCCTCAGTTTCCCCATCTGTCTAGTGAGAGCAGCCGCAGTGGTTCAGAGCATCTCTGGACATGTCTTTGTTTAAATATTAAAAAAAAATAATAATGTTTATTTATTTTTGAGAGCGGGAGACAGAGCATGAGCATGAGCATGAGCAGGGGAGGGGCAGAGAGAGAGAGAGAGACAGAGACACAGACACAGAATCCGAAGCAGCTCCAGGCCCTGAGCTGTCAGCACAGAGCTGAGGCGGGGCTCGAACCCACGAACTGTGAGATCACGACCTGAGCTGAAGTCGGACTTTCAACCGACTGAGCCCCTCAGGCGCCCCCGGCCATGTCTGTATGCAGTGGGTAACCAATAAAACACTGGGCAACAGCGGCAACACTTCCCTTGTTCTAGAACATTCCCAGAGAATAACCCTTAAGTTTGCAAGCAGTGGGGAAGGGAGTCTCCCGCCGGCTGAATGTGGGGAATGTCACCCCATGTCACAAAGACAGGAGCGGTCCCCGTGCCCGGCCACACGGATAATAAGTCTGCCCACGGACAGCGGCTCACAGCCTTCTGCACCCTGTGCC